CCCTCTTTTCAATTTTTTCTTTTTAGTTTTTTAGTTTTGTTTTTTGCTTATGTTTTGTTTTAGTTCTTTTACCATAACAACAAACTATCAAACTCATATTCTTCAAAATATATTTTTTCATGCAAACTCTATTATCGTACATATTTAAACACTTGTAATCAATGATTTAAAACCTAAATTTAAAGATTTTTGAATTTAATAGTGGTTACTCAGATAAAGTAATGTATGAAGAAAAAACTCAAAGGAATAAACAAAAAAGCAGAAAATAAATAAATAAAAAATGGAATTGGGAAAGATCGGTACCACGCTACCGATCATCGCCCAGTCATATTTAAATCATCGTTAAATCTATTTATTTTCACCTTTGCCTCACCGTGAAGTTTTGAAAATTAAGGTAAGACTTTCCGTTAAAATTCTTGAGGGTAGAACCCTATTTTTGGGTCTCACAACTATATTTTTCACTTATTTTTTTAGTTTTCAACTTAAATATTCTACTAGATATACATTTGTTGCTGAATACATCGTAAATCCACTTCCACATGCCTTACAAAGTTTTCCATTATGCTCATGGAAAATGTTTCGCGAAAATAAAAAATTTACATTTTTGACAGAAAATGTGGGGTCACACTCACGTTTTAGGTCCGTTTTGCAAATTCGTACATAAATCATCATCCAATCTATTCATTTTCACCTTCGCCTCGTCGTGAAGTTTTGAAAATTAAGGTTAGACATTCCATTGATATTCTTGAGGGTGGAACCCAATTTTAACAATGTTTTGGGTGACACACCCCAACCCGAAATGTCCACCTGGACTCTGTATCGAGCTGTGCTAGCCGACACTAGTGTTAGAGTAAATGTAGAAATTTAGAGAATAATTCGAATGATGACTTTGAGGTAGGACTTGAATTGTTTCCTTAAAGTATTATTTGCCCTCACTCGAATGAGTTTGCTAAAGGGTTCTTGGCAAATCACTTACGAGATACAGGTCTCGTTTTAGCTCTGTCACAAAAAACCGTCTCCAACTGATGACCAAACATAATTTATTATTTAAATTTTAAAACTACAACAACTTAAATTCAAATCCAACAACAACTTAAATTTAAAAACTACAACGGTAACTGGCCCAAAAACCAAAAAAATTAGAACTTAAATTTAATAATGGTTTAGGTATTTATAGGGGAAAAAATTAGAATTTTTAAGAATTAAAAAAAAAAAAATACAACGGCTAGTCAACTAGCCATTGGATTCAAATTTTTGTTTAAGCATTCCTGTCGGTTATATCCGACATGATTGCTTTGATTTTCTGGCCAGCCCTTTGACCCTTTCAGATTTTGTGGGGCCCATGAGCCCTCTTACCTAGCTTTCGGTTGGAGATAGTTTTAGGGTTATTTTCGGCCCTCTCGCTCTCTGGACACTTCGGTTGGAGATGGCCTAATTTGTTATCATCAATCTCTCGTAATCTCATTCTCTTCAAAGAAATTGTATGCTTATATAGACGTGACTGGCGAATCATTGTACTATATTCTTAAATTTTAAACGATTTACCCATTATTGTTAATTTTTTTTTAACAACCCATTATCGTTATTAAATTCAACAATACATGTTCGTTTTAGATTTACGGATGATCCCACAATAATCTCTAGTTTCATCAAGCCCCTCGTATTCTTGATAGATTCCGTCTTGCCGCCCCACGTGAGTTGCATCTTGGAATGAACAAAGGTCTTTAGAGTCACACCCTTGCACACTAATTATTCTTGAAACAAATTATTCTAAACAAAGGACATGAATTTTTATTTTTTTTTTACTATAAATGTGGGATAAAATTTGCTAAATCATGTGAAAACACGAACGTTTGCCAATACTTAATAAATTAAGTATAAATTTTTAGTGTGATCAAATTGATGGAGTTATATTTCACATTATATGATATAGATGAACGGTATGCCAGATATTCTATTTTTTTTTCGGTGAAATGCTTGTTATTACAATATTTAGTGCTATAAATTAATTAATTAAGAACTTTCTCACTACATATAAATTCAAAAATCTAAGAGACGCTAGACATTAGTGAGGCGGCCGGCTAGAACCTAGCAGCTAGGCACTAGTTTGGCATGGATTATGGAGTTCCTCATGACCATCTATATGGTTTGGGCCTTGAAGTTGGAGACCGTTGTGATCTCAAATCCGCTTACACACTTTGGGCTTTTTCCAATTTTCACATTTTGGGCCCAACGTCATATATTTCACATTAGGGGTTTTATGATGCGTTTGTTGCACCGAACTAACTAGACTAAGCTGGACTAACTTAATAAAGCGTTTGGTGCAGTGTCGGACTAAGAAGCAGGATAATGAAAATAATACTATCACCAGTTTGGTGTTTGCTCGAACTGAGACTAAATTATTATTCTGATTTAATTTCTTTTTATTTAAAGATATTATCAAAATTAATAATATTAAATGAGAGTATGACTCAATAAAAAGTACAAAATCCAAATTTCTTGCCAACGAAAGAAACATACATGATTCAAGAGTAGTATTGCTCCAAACATCAATATAACAAAGGTGTTTTCCTAACAATTGATGGGGTTTATAATGCTTTTCTTAATTATTCACCTTTGGTTTGATTGCATTCAATCCTAAGACCACAATGATGCTTGAGCGCGCATTGGCAAATAGATAGCCGAGCCTTGATCATTGCTACATTTGGATTCAAGCACGTAAATTGCTTGCTCCAACTAGTTTGAAGAAAACCAATAACAATATGCAAAAGGAAGAGATTATGAATATACCTCAAGCAAAGTACACAACGTTTGGAGCAAAGGATTGTCAAAAGTGAAGCAACAAGTTTTAGCTGAGGGAACGTAAATTTAAATGTTGTGATACAGACAAAATTTTGCTATTCTAACTAATTTATTGACTAGACTAAAACACAAGCTTGTGTAGGCTACATGAATACGACAGTCCTCTTGCACTGCTGATCCTCTGAATTGACTCCTTACATGAACATATTGTTACAAACAATCAAAATCGATTGAATCAATACCACGCCTTTTGTTGCTCTAGCAAGCAAGTTGGTGCCTGCACATGTAACAACTTGCTGCATCAAAACTGCTATTTATGACTCTGCTACGATGGCTGAATCTAATCTCACTGAAGCAACTGTTGGAGCTTTATTACTTCTTGTTGCTGTTCCGGAGACAATGAACTCAGTTTTTCTGGTGTAAGGCTCAAAACTTGTTGTAGTAGAGCAGACTCCACCCCAGGTGGAAGCTCAGGTTGAGAAAGATTAACCATGATGTCAGATACTCAGATCAAAGGACTGCATGTTGTAAGCATCGTGTAGTAAATAGAACATAAATTGGTTAAAAATGGATAAAATGCAAATAATCCGCAACTACCTCAACCTTAAAGTCTCAACATTGCTGCAGACTGTAGTTGGTGGATATGTTTCACACACCATAGCTAAGTATATTAATCAGAGAACAAATTTGGCAACATCTCAAATACGGTGCTCTTAGAAATCAAGTGAAACTTTTATATCCATAACAAATTGATATAGATGCACATTTGTTTAGAAATCTCAATAATGTCTCTGTACCATAGTATCTAGAACATGATTATATGTGAAAACCTGAAAACTCAGCACGTTCAAATAAATGGAATCAAGCAATGCATGAACACAACCAAATATGAAAAACCAGAGAAAGAGGAATCCTCAGTCTGAGGAGGAGGAGGTCTATAGTTTACCCTCAATGCCCTGCCATCAAGTTCCTACCAAATGCAATGAAGTCTTTCTTATATACGATATAAGCCTTTCTTAGATACGATATACAAGGTTCTCATGAATGCAATACAACCAAATGACGGCAAGACTCAGCAAAATAAATACGGAACTCAACCAATCACTACACTAAAAAACCAACATCAAGAAATGCAACACAAAGCTACAAAACAAAATAACCTTTTCATAATGAAATAAACATCGACCAAGTTTCAAACGTCAATCAATAAAATTGTTTTCACGATAATGCCATGAAACTCTTGCTAACATAGTTATATACAACAAACAGGGTTTCTCAACTTGACCTGTAACCAATGACTTCAACTCAAAACAATCAACACGGTAATAAGTAATCGCAACCATAAAAAAAATACACACTGCAAAGGCCAGAGACTAAGCTCCATCAAACATTTCTTTAGTAAGACAAATCGAAAGCAAGTTTCGACAAATGAATGTTAATAAATACGATTACAAATAAAGTACCAATTCGCAAATCACAAACTTTCACATATATAAGAAAATATGAACAAATGGTTAGACTTAAATATGAAGACTTACATAGTCGTTTAGCTGGCGAGCAACATATTCAGCTTCTTGAACACTTGACATAGTCAGAAACCCAAATCCTCTGCTTATTTTGATCATCTTATCATATATCACCTGTTAAAAACCTTCCAAATTTAACCCACAAAGCACTAAACCACCAACTACCGATTTCACTTTTCACCCAAATTTCAAGTAAAATTTACAAAATTTTAAGTGAAAACAAGGAATTAACTTGACCAACCGGACATTTCTGGCATTCTCGAAGATACTAGCGAGTTGAGCGCTACCGACGTTGAAGGGAGGGTTACCCACGAAGAGTTTGTGGTCAGGGAATGCCTCTTTGTTGTCACTGAGAACTTCCTTGTCCTGCTCGAACTCAGACGAGACGGTGAAGTCATGAAGGAGATGGGAGATGGCGAATGTGCGAAGGAGAAAAAGATGGATGGATCAGCTGCGATAGAGGACGGGACTAGGAGTCTGCTCGAAATCGAGGGCTCTCGCTAAGAACGGCTAGCCAGGCGTTCAGTCGGAGCGAGTCCCCTTTAGTCTCATTAACTTTTATCCGTGTAAATAACAAACACCAGACTGGACTATCATTTAGTTTAGTCCAGTCCAATGAATGCTAGTGAAGGCAAACAAACATACCCTTCGAGAGTTTGGAACTTTGGAGGCTGTTCGCTTCAACTGCAATACACGTCTATCCTGAGCCTTATAAAAGCAAACACAAATTCTAGGGTTTTTGGGAACACCATTTCGCGCGGCCGCTAGTAGCAGAAAAATCACTCACCGGCGCCATGGGGAGGGTCATCCGAGCTCAGCGTAAGGGTGCGGGTTCCGTGTTCAAGTCTCACACCCACCACCGAAAGGGTCCGGCGCGCTTCCGTAGCCTCGACTTCGGCGAGCGCAACGGCTACCTCAAGGGTGTAGTCACCGAGATCATCCACGATCCCGGTCGCGGTGCCCCGTTGGCCCGCGTCAGCTTCCGCCATCCGTTTAGGTACAAGAAGCAGAACGAGCTCTTCGTCGCCGCCGAGGGAATCTACACCGGTCAGTTCATCTACTGTGGGAAGAAGGCCAATTTGGTGGTCGGAAATGTGTTGCCTCTCAGATCGATCCCGGAGGGAGCCGTCGTCTGTAACGTCGAGCACCATGTTGGGGACCGCGGAACCCTCGCTAGGGCGTCTGGTGATTACGCCGTTGTTATCAGCCACAATCCTGACAACGATACTTCCAGGTCTATATGCATCTCTCTCTGTTCATGTTATTTCCTTTAGATTCATGCTAAATTACTATTATATTTGTTAATTGGATTTCGATAATTGCAGTTCAAATGTACATTGTTATTGAGATACCAATTTCTCATATGATTGCAATTTGCATGTAGATATGTGATTTCTGATTCAAGCACAAAAATTGTATCTTCGTTCATTTGCTGAACTGGTTTGGGTTTAGTTGTAGGGTTTATCACGCGGTATGCTGTTGGGTCAGTATTCGAGAGATGAATGATTCTTTTGGAAGAAATTGGTTGCATTGATCTTATGATTCTGGAACTTATGAAACGAATCTCGGGTTTTATGATTGTTGTGTACAGTACTAATTAATCGAATGTGATTACCACATTCGACTTTTTGCTTTCATTGTGAACAATAGAGAATTTGCTTTTTAACAAGATATGCTTATTTGGTTGTATTGTTGTGAAGAATGTGAAATTAAGAAAGAGTAGTGTGAAATTGTTTCTTTATCTACTGCTTGTCATAAATTTTTTGAATGATTGACCCTTTGTGATTGTGAAATCTCATACGCTGAGTAATGATTACGTTTATCTGCTAGTTTATGGTATTTTTGAGGTGTGTTAACAATTGTGTTTCCACTGGTTCTAACAGGATCAAATTGCCATCTGGTGCCAAGAAGATTGTTCCCAGCGGATGCCGTGCGATGATTGGGCAGGTAGCAGGTGGAGGAAGAACAGAAAAGCCAATGCTCAAGGCTGGCAATGCTTACCACAAGTTCAGAGTGAAGAGGAACTGCTGGCCCAAGGTTCGTGGTGTGGCTATGAACCCGGTCGAGCATCCTCACGGAGGAGGTAATCACCAGCATATTGGACATGCTAGCACAGTCAGGCGTGACGCTCCTCCTGGGCAGAAGGTTGGTCTCATTGCCGCTAGGAGGACTGGTCGTCTCAGAGGACAAGCTGCTGCCAACATATCTAAGGCAGACAAGTGATGAGATTACATTTTGTTGTTTTATTTTATCCAAGACTAGTTTGGTGCATTTTGTGGAGGAAGTTTTGTTTGGTTGGATCATTTAATGTTTGTTGCTTAACATATTATGAGTTCAAAATGTTGGGTAAATGAGTTAATTATGATCCAAGCTCGATACCAAAGTTTGTTGCTGAATATATTGTCGGTTGAACAAGCGTTTGGTGCATTTTGGGATGTTTTGGTTTTTGTGTCTATTGAAGCTAAAACCCCTATTTATTCAATTAGTCATTTTATTCAAGAAAGGAACGGTTATTGGTATTTCAAAAATCTTATTTTGCATTCCTTATAAGTGTATTTTTATATGTGAAATATAGGAAGTTTGGAGTGAAAAATGAGAATTTTGAAGTACTAATAACAATTATCTTCAAGAAATATAGGGTAAACAAGTCAAATATGATCCAAGCTCGATATAAACTCCAATTGTATCTTGTCGATTGGAGGATAGTGTTGTTCACGCATTTTTTTTTTACCTTTCACAAGCCTATATATCTTTTTGGCATTTCTAGACCCTCTAATGTCTTTTGAGCATTGGATTAAGAAATTAAAAATAGTTCTTTATCTTTCGAGTGTCTTCTCAGCTCGATGAAAAAGGAGTTGCATCTTACGAACTCGTTGATAATGATTTTGACCTAGTTCGAGACCTAATGAAAGTAAATAGCCTTTCAACGAGTTACAAAAATAAATTACAGTTATTTTTGTGATGGTCAAATGACATTGTTTTTCCGCCGTTCGCTAATAACGGACATCACCCAGCAGAGCCATGGGAAGAGTCAACAGAGCTCATCATAAGGGTGCTGGCTCGTCTTCAAGTTCCACACTCGCTACCGTAAAAGTTCAACCTTCTTAACGGGTTTGGAGGGTGGTTATGGACAATGTACATAAATGTCTTTTACTTATGTTGTTTTTTCTTGATAAATAATAAGTTCTTTGACATGTCGATCTTTTATATGTTTAATTGCTTCAAGTATCTCACCTATTTATGCGTATTATGAGAATCATCTTTTAAGATTGATGGCGCATATGTTTACTTATATATATATATATATCACAATCAATCAATGAAACCATAAATCATGTTAATTTCATTGCAGAATCTTGCATGCCAGACCTATGGCATCGTGAAAAATTAGGACGTTAAATTCTATAAAATCAGGTAAAAAATCTTGAAATAAATCATGCAATTGTTGAAAAAAAGTCTAATTGCTATATTTAATAAATAAATAAAAGAAAAGAAATAATCGTGCAATAATTAAGTATACAATTTAATGCATGGACATGAACAACTAATTTTAAAAGAAGGATAAATTACATTTTACCTCTTCAGGTTTGGGGTTGATTGCAACCTCATACAACATCTTTTAAACATTTCACTTTCATACATTTACTTATCATTTTATTTCAATTTAATACCTTCTCCCTCTCCTACACTCTCTTCACCGCCCCTCCCTTCTCTCTTCCCAAGTCAACCAGCACCCAACCCTAATCCCCAAAATTTTATTGGCCCCAATTTTATCCCTAACTGATGACACGGTTCATTTAACACATTTGTCTTATGTTCTCAGGGAAGAACATTCAAGAACCAAAGAGTAGTAGTTATTGAAATTTTGAGACATGATGGAGCCTCCGAAAGGCAAAGGATTGGGTCAACAGATCTAACACAGCTGAGGAAAGAGCAGGCAAAGTCAGTGGTTGCATGACCGAAGATGACGAAGATTGAGATGAATGATGAAATTGATGATGTAATGATTAAATGATCATAAAACATTTAATTATCATTCCCCGAAAGAGAATTTTATACTAAAATTGGTGTCCATATGAGTATGACAGGCAACGACGTTAGTGAGAAATGTGGGCACAACTAAGAGGGATAATGTAAGAGTTTTGAATTTGAGAAATAAGAATAAAATATAGAAAAGTTGTTACTATTTATATACACACCAATGCGATAAGGCTTGTTTTTGTCACTATAGAGACTAAGGGTTTGCCACCAACGTTTGTGCTCAATCTTTGTAACAAAAACGAATGTAGTGCAATAATTAGGAGGGATATCACCACATCTTAATTAGGCTGATCTTCTCTTATGCAATTGTCGTATCACATGAGACAACATCAGACTTTTAACTCTCATATCAGACGATACGCTAATTGAAGGTTCCAAACCTTTGCTCGTTATACCAACCTCTTGACTTTGGGCTTTTTCCAATTTCCACATTTTGGGCCAATGTCATATTATTTCACGTTAGGGTTTTAGGGAGCTTGCAGGCTGTTCACTCACTGCCATACCTCTCCCAAGACCTATAAAAGCAAACACAAATCCTAGGGTTTTTGGAACACCATTTCGCGCGGCCGCTAGTAGCAGAAAATCACTCGCCGGAGCCATGGGGAGGGTTATCAGAGCTCAGCGTAAGGGTGCGGGTTCCGTTTTCAAGTCGCACACCCACCACCGCAAGGGTCCTGCCCGCTTCCGGAGCCTCGACTTCGGCGAGCGCAACGGGTACCTCAAGGGTGTCGTCACCGAGATCATCCACGATCCTGGTCGCGGTGCCCCGTTGGCCCGCGTCAGCTTCCGCCATCCGTTTAGGTACAAGAAGCAGAACGAGCTCTTCGTCGCCGCCGAGGGAATCTACACCGGTCAGTTCATCTACTGCGGGAAGAAGGCCAATTTGGTGGTCGGAAATGTGTTGCCTCTCAGATCGATCCCGGAGGGAGCCGTCGTCTGTAACGTCGAGCACCATGTTGGGGACCGCGGAACCCTCGCTAGGGCGTCTGGTGATTACGCTGTTGTTATCAGCCACAACCCTGACAACGATACCTCCAGGTCTATATACATCTCTCTCTGTTCATATTATTTCCTTTTCATTCTTGCTAAATTATTGGGTTATTATATTTGTTAATTGGATTTCGATAATTGGAGTTCAAATATTACATTGTTATTGAGATACCAATTTCTCATATGATTGCAATTTGCATGTAGATATGTGATGTCTGATTCAATCACAAAAAAATGTATCCCTTTAGGTAATAGTATGTTCGTTTGCTGAACTGGGTTGGCTTTAGTTTTAGGTTTTATTATGCGTATGCGGTTGGGTCAGTTTTCCAACACTTTTTCAATGTAGAACGATAGAGATGAATCGCAAAAATTGTATCCCTTTTGCGAGTAGTTTGTTCATTTGCTGAACTGGGTTGGCTTTAGTTTTGGGTTGTATTATGCGGCACGCAGTTGGGTCAGTTCTCGAACATTTTCTCAATTTGGAGCGAGAGAAACTAATGATTCTTCTGAATGAAAATGAATTAATTTTTGGTTGGATTGATGTTATGATTGTGAAACTTAAAAAGCAAATTCCCAGGTTTTAAAACTGTTGTTTAAAGAACTAATTAATCGAATTTCATTACCTCATTTTACTTTTTGCTTTCATTTAGGACAATAGAGAAATTGGTTTTTAACAAGATTTTTCCTATTTGGTTGTATTGTTAAGAAGACTGATGATTTCGGACTGCCCATTTTGTTGCTTCATTTACTGCTTGTCATCAATTTTTTTTTCTTTGGATTATTGACCCTTTTTTATTATAAAATCTTATATGCTGAGTAGATTTATACGCAGAGCATATGGTATTTTTGAGATTGTTTATCCGTGGAACCCTTGCATTTTGGCTGTTATTTTGTGATGGGTTTTCGGGTCATCCTTTGAACGTGTTTTTCAGTTAGTACTATATAGAAATTACTAATTTTCTAATAAAGGCCATTATTTGGTTGAATTATTTATATGATTGTCATTTTACGCAAAAACAAATCGCGTTTTAAGATTAGATTGCTGTTCACATTATTAAGTTATCGATTTGACATCCTTATTCTGTATTTTGCTTTCATTCAGAACCAGTTGGGAATTGGTAATTTTTTGGAGTCCTTACTTGGTTGCATCGTTTAGAAGAGTGTGAATCAACCACAAATCGTCTGATATCATGATTTCTGTTCATAACACTAGCTATTTAAAATATGATTTCTATTTCTATTGTTTTGGTTTATCTTCTGCTTGTCATCGACTCTTGTTGAAATATTTTGTCTTTGTGATTGTAAAAGCTTTATGTCTTGACATACTGTTTATTGTATGGGAGACACGTATAAACAAATTTTCTGTTTCCACTGGTTCTAACAGGATCAAGCTTCCGTCTGGAGCCAAGAAGATTGTTCCCAGCGGATGCCGTGCTATGATTGGGCAAGTTGCAGGTGGAGGAAGAACAGAAAAGCCAATGCTCAAGGCTGGTAATGCTTACCACAAGTTCAGAGTGAAGAGGAACTGCTGGCCCAAGGTTCGTGGTGTGGCTATGAACCCAGTCGAGCATCCTCACGGAGGAGGTAATCACCAGCATATTGGACATGCTAGCACAGTCAGGCGTGATGCTCCTCCTGGGCAGAAGGTTGGTCTCATTGCTGCTAGGAGGACTGGTCGTCTCAGAGGACAAGCTGCTGCGAACATATCTAAGGCAGACAAGTGAAGAGGCTTATGAGGGATTACGTTTTCGTTGTTACCTAAGTTTGCTGTTTTGGGACCGTTTTAATTTATATCGCAGTACTAGATTGGTGCATTTTTGTGCGGTTTGAACCTTTCATGCTTTGATCCATATCATGATATTAACAGCCAAAAGTTTTACTAGTTGTCATCTGGCTCTTGTTTTGTACTTGTTGATTCTTCTTTCAGTTGTACGTGTATGTGAGAGGAGAAATTACAGTGGGTGCCGGAGGTGATGGGGTCATTACATCGGGCCTCATTATCTTGAGCTTAAAGATTAGATAATCTTGACCACTCAAATTGAATCCAACGGTCTTCATCAACTTATTCAGCTGGCCCTTTTTCACAAACTAAGGTCTTTGATTTCTTTTTTACAAAAACAAAGGGCTCAAATTCCCGGGTCCTCGAGAACCGGGGAGGATCTGAATTATACGTTTAGAGTCCGCATAGACACGTGGTTCCGATGTTGGATCTTAAAATTTTCTTGTGAGAGGTTTGAGATTTAATTCTTCCCAAACGAATTTGTACCAAGTTTTCTCTCTGTCCCGGAGACCCTTATGTCATTCAGTTTCCCGTTTAACCCTACAAAATGCCCGATTGTTTTCGGTTCGGGTTGTTTCCATATCATCAATGGTCAGAAATTCAA